CCCCCCCCTCCCCAGTACTTTTCTTTCCCAGTTCGTACTGTTAAAAGTCTTCTTCCTCGTCTTCTACTTCGAAATCTTCATCGTCCTCTTCGTCATCATTGTCGCTTTCGTCCTCTCGTCCGCCATTGCCATGCTCCATATGATCTTCTCGGCTTTCGGTCACCATTTCTCGTAGCTTGAGTCCTTGGCTTTTCACAAAATCCACGAATGGTTGCAATTCCGCGCGGTCAACTTGGTTAAATTCGTATTCGATACCCGACTTGAGAGTAATTGAAAACTCGAACAAACGGGTTTGCTGCCCCTGGGTCCTTCCCAAATTAACAGAGGCCACCTCACTGAACTTGACGGTTATGACTGGCTTGTGCAAGTAAACAAACTCGTGCTGCAGAGGATAGAACCAGCCCGTTTCGACCTTGTGTGAACAGCTAAATGACGGCCAGTTGCTCGAGCCTTTGAATGGCGTCTCGCCCAAAATCTGCTTTTTCGCCAAAGCCTGAATTAAAGGACCTGCCAATATGTTTTCCATCACGCTCATTTCGCTCTGAGCAGATGGCATGAATTTTCGAATCTCCTCCAACATCTCCGCTGAAGCATTGATCGAAATCACTTGCTCTTGTTTGTCATCGAAACAGATTATTACCGCCGGATACTTAGTTGCACCCTTCTTTAGCGGATTGACTAAGGTCAACAACAATTTTGAAGACTGCTCATCAACTAGAAAATAAGCACTACAAAATAGCAGATCAACCAAGTAGCATCCGCAGAAGAATGAGCCAGTTGTACAGAGCGGCGAGACGAGCGGTTAGGCGTGCGGCCAGACTTACTCAATGATGTTATCGAATTGGACTCGATAATCAAATGATTTGCCATGGAGACGAATTGAGTTCGCATAAAATTGAACATCGAACCTGCCAGGAGGCAGCAAGCAGTTCTTGTAAAGGAACCGGCAAACGAGAGAGGTATTGTCCGAGCTTCCGAGTCCTGAAGCATCCAGGATGCTCTGAAAAAAAAGTAGCGCACTCGTGTTCGATAATCTTACCGCCTTGACATATTCCGCATTATCGGCCGCATCACCTTCCTTTGGTGGGGGAACGCAAAATCTGATCTCAGAAACAACGTCTTCCATTACAGATCTGCAAAGAAATACTGAACTAAACTACAGCTTGACAAAATGCGTTGTAGTGGTACATACTGTTTCTCCTTAGTTTTGAGCTCAAGAGTAATGTCGCTTTTATTGCTCATAACATTGCTGAGCCTATCTAGAGGTATATCAATTGATCGTTTGCCATCTACTTCGAAGCAGAATGATTTGTCCTTAATAGACCATTCTCCCCAATGCCAGCCTTTGCATCCAAGTTTTATATCGGCGAGCATTGGTATTTGCCAGTGCCTCTTGAAATAAGATTGCAGAGTCTCAAAATCATGTTCTCGAAATCCCGAGAAATCAATACGAGTTCCGGATTGTGTCACGAAGCTTAGAGTAAATTCTCGGGCATTAATCCTACTCCATTCAATTTGTCGAACGGCTTTAGCATCCTCTTGTATAATTTGGCCGGTGTTGGAATTTTTCCAACCATACAGAGATTTGGTTATCCGAAACGCCCCCGTATCGGGCGTTCCCGGGCCCCTCACATTCTTGATGTTAACTTGTTCGGTTTTCACCGACATTTTTTTAATTATGGAGAGCTTTCTCCAAGGTGAACAGTACCAACAACAAGTAAACCCACCTTCTTTGTGCGACCAGTACCTATTGCCGTCAATTAGACCGACTAATAGACCCGGAATGAGTGCCCACTTAGTGGATTGAATTGCAACAGGATCAACAATTGACGGCAATTGCACAGACAACTAGGGAGCTGGCTGAGCGAGCCCATACGATGCGCGATGCCCTAGATGAGCATGCAGAGTAACTCAACCCAGTTGTACGAGAAAAATAACCCCCACTTTAGGCTTATAGACGACATTACCTACAATGCTGATAAACAGAATACAGCTATGGACAAAGTTATGGCCAGAGTCGCCTTTGTCCTGAACAGCAACAGTACGCGCGCGCACCAGACTGACGAAAGTGCACCAGACTGACGAAAGTGCACGGAAAGGGACGGAAGGGCGAATGATAGTAGATTGGGAGCACTTTGGCAAGAACATTGGGAGTAACATGTGTGCCCGTAGGTAGGAGACAAATTAAGCAGGTGTTAATACTGCTCCTTGTCCTGGTCTTGCAAATTCTCTTCTTTTGCGTCTTCTGAAAGCGAAAGGTCTGTGGCATGCAGGATAGCAGCATAACCTGTTTCAGCATAACCTGCTTCGCCGTAATGGGGGTCGGGGGTGGTAAGCCGGGGTGGTAAGTTGGGGCCAGTGGTCGGGTGTTGAGGGCGGGGTGAATTTTTTCATTTAATGGATGAACGTCGAAACGACTGAATGGGGGTTGGAGCAGAGTCAGGTATATCAGAATAAGGACCGATGTGAAGAGGAGATTGAGGAGCCGGACATTTTTGGGCCGTTCAATCAGACGTGTGGGCGGCAGTCTTTGACGAGTGTGGCGGCGTTGTTGATAGGAGATCAGAATGCGGGGAAAACTACATTGCTCCATTCGTTGTCGAATGCGAAGCATTCTTTGTCGTTCCTGCACATCCAATCGCTGATTCCGTTTATCCAGGCATCGTTTTACAACTGTCGGTTTTGCAACTTTGGCGCGATGGAGGAGGAAGGCATCAACCCACTGCGGGCCTGTTGCGACGAGGGTGCCTTTCTGGACTCGGACATCGCGCGTGCGTCGCTAACTTTAACCAAGCCCGACTGGTTGTTTTTGCTGGAGGAAGTGGGCTTGGGCGGCGGGGGGGTTCCCGAGGAGTTTCTAGTGAATGACTTTACGCGGCTATCCCTCATCGAGTTCGGCGGCGACCACCTGGACCGGCTGCAGCACCGTCCGTGCGCGAGTCATCCATGTCCTGACCGCCCATGTTCGGAGCGTGTGTTTGAAAACACGCGTGTGCAGGAAATTTGCGCGAATAGCCTCAAATTGCTGCAAACTAAGGATCTAACTTCGGTCGCCTACTTCATCAACGGGTGCACAGCGGCCGGTGTGCATGATGACTCGGCGGCAGACGGTCCGCTGCGTCTGAAACCCGACTATTGCAAGGACCTTCGCTCGCGACTACAGGCGCTGCAAAGTTGGTGCCCCTTTCTCTCGGCTCTGCATGTCTACGTGACCCGTGTCCCGGTGCAGGGTTGCGCCCGCTTGAATGACGCATGTATCCTCGACAGTGCCTTCCTTGACGTACTCGCCAGCGTTGTTGGCCAGACGGACGCCGACAAATATGAGTACGACCTTCGCGTCGCCACCTCCTCGCCCTTCTACCTCGAGATCCGCGACACTGTCACCCAACTCTGCAGAGATGCACTCCCCCATGTCAAGTGCACCGTCTGCCCCTTCCTCTTACTCGACCGAACTACACACCTTCCCAACCCCTGCAGCATCTACTACTTCCTTTCCCACACCGTCCGAGCTGCGCTCCAGCTCCACAGACTCGGAGCCAACTCCTCAGACCCCGAACTCCTGCTCAACCTCCTACGCTGCATCAAAAACAGCCGCTACTACGCCCCCGAAGACAAACTCTGGATCGAAACCCTCACGTGGGTAGACTACCAATCCATCTGTAAGATCGGCACACCGCGAACCGTAGCCTACCGTACCGATCACGCATCACACCAGTCATTACGCATCACACCAGTCATTACGCATCACACCAGTCATTACGCATCACACCACTTATCACACCGCCCAGTCACCACAGCGTGACAACACCATGACCAATTGGTGTGTGCTCATCAAAGTGTGTGCACACACTTTGCAGCTTTCCAAAATGGGTGTGTGTGCACATGAATTTGCGGGTGACGGGTTTTTGGTAGCTCTTGGGTACGAACGGAACGAGTCGGAGATGTCGATACCATTGACGGCATTGTTGCCGCACTCTGACCGTTTATTGACGACGGTGTCTGGTGCGTATGGGGGTTGTTTGCAGGGTGCTATGAATGTGCCTCGGTTGCGTGTCGTATGCGAAGATTCGATAATGCACCGTTTACTAAGCAAGTTGCACGTCTTTGAACGTTGGCCGGATGGGGTGCGATTGGTTGTGAGTCAGAAGTGTAGTAGATGCGAGCCGTTTAGTATCGATATGAGTCCGGTGGCGACATCGAGTGATGCCAAGTCTTATCGATTTCCATACTCCAGTGCGATGTGTGACAGTGTGCTGAAAGTACTGGAACATGGTGCAAGCACGCGTCAAGATAACGTTGACTGGGATCTCGTGAAACGCGAGATGCCTACCGCCATGAGTTCCGAACCCGTACAACTGAGTCAACCGATCAACAATACTGGCATCTGCAAATCCATCGAACCCTTGGTTAACCATGCACTCGACGTGCTCACCTTCCAACCCACCTACCATACCTGCACACAGACCGGAGATGTCCTAGTCGTCATAGACATCGCTGACCGCCTCATTAATATTGCCATCACCGACGCCAACGCGGACGAACCCTCAGACGATGCCCTCATCACCCTTTCCAGCGTCGCCTAGCCGGGCCGAGTCTGGCTTGGCCGAGTCTTTCCTTTCCCCGCTTAACTTTTTATATAAACCATATCGTTTGGTCGATATCGCTTGGTGGTGAGTATTGTTCAACGGAATATCGCAGCGGCGAAGAAATGACAGAGAAGCAGGATAGCATGTTCTCTTTATTGAGAGAGGGGCCCTTGAAGGTGTGCATTTTAGGCAGTGGCAACTGGGGTACAGCGTGTGCGGGATTGGTATGTGCGAACGCGAAGGAGTCGTATCTATTTTGCGACCAAGTGAAGATCTGGGTGCGGGAGGAACGGCTAGATGATGGGCGGCTATTGGATGAGGTGATGAACGAAAAACGCGAAAACGTCAAGTACCTCCCTGGGTTTCCTTTGGCGGACAACTTGGTGGCAGTGCGCGACATCACGGAGGCGGTCCGTGACGCAGATCTGATTGCGTTTATTCTGCCGCACCAGTTCATGGAGGTGACGTGCAAGAGTATTCAAGCGGCTGTCAAGCCATCGGCGCGCGCGATTACGCTGGTCAAGGGCCTGCACATCTGTGACGGCGTGCCCTACTCCTTCAGTAAGTTAGTGGAGACGTGGCTGGGCATCGAGTGCAGCGCTCTTTCCGGTGCCAACGTAGCCAAAGACGTGGCCAACAAGCAGTTCTGCGAAAGCACCGTTGGCTACAAGGAAACGGAGATGGCCTCTATTTGGCAACAACTCTTCGACCGCCCACACTTCCGCGTCCACGCCGTTCCGGACGTGGAAGGAGTCCAGGTCTGTGGCGCCGTCAAAAACCTCATTGCCCTCGCCGCCGGCTTCTGTGATGGTCTAGGCATGGGCAGCAACACCAAGGCCGCTATCATCCGTCTCGGCGTCTCCGAAATGAAACTCTTTGCTAACATCTTCTTTGACGGCGTCCTGGAAGAAACCTTCTTCGACTCCTGTGGTTTCGCAGATGTTATCACAACCTGCTATGGCGGCCGTAACGTCAAATGTGCCGCAGAGTTCATCCGCCGCGAACAAAAGTCGAGTTGGGAAGACATCGAAACCGACCTCCTCGGTGGTCAAAAAATGCAAGGCCAACTCACATGTAAAGAAGTCCATGAGGTCCTCGTCAAATTCAAGATACTGCAATTCTTCCCTCTCTTTGAAGTCACCCACCGTGTCGCATTCGAACACGCACCACCCGACGAACTCCTCACCGTCTTCATGGTACGCCACCTCACACACCCACCCTGTACTCACACCCCCACCCTCCCACACACTCAGCACGCTCAGACGCTTCACACCCTGCCGGACCAATACGGCCGAAAATGCAAATTTGTGCCTTAGACAGCCAAGCCCTCCGAACCCAAGATCGACAAGGAATGCACTCACAGCGTTCTGTATGGTCCACTCACCCGTGTCCAACGCGACATCAAGAAACATGTGCAGCTGTGCATCCAGCCGTGCCCGCCTGCCAAGAAGACTTGAGGTCACATGCGCGATTTGGAAGGTCACATGTGCGGAACGTCACAGTCGATTTGGAAGTGTGAAAACCGACTTTGACGCACAACATTGAACCAACTTCGCGACATTTGTCTTGCACCATGTGGGCGCGCATCCGTCAATCAGTCCTTCAGTCAGTCCGTCAAACGCCCCGATCAGTGCGTGTTTGTGTGGGGGAGGGTGTTGGCCAACGCCTCCCTGGTGTTGGGTGAAATAAAAAAATGTTTGTGTGTCAGCTCTCGGGCAGCGTGCCGGCGGAGCCGGTTGTGACTCCTGGTAAGCTTCGGTCACAGGCGAGGGTGCCAGTCACGCAGTTTTCCGGGGATTTCTATCCGCGAAGAGCCTTATTCTTTTCAGAGGGTCATGTGTATGAGAAACGAATTATAAGTCTACATCTGGAAAAGAGTCAGGTCGATCCAATTAGCGGGAAACCGCTGAGTCTGAAGGACGTCGTTGAGGTAAAGTGTCCGCCGATAAATAAGCCATCAAGCGCGGTGGCGCTGGGCGACTTCCAGAGTGTGCTGCAACATCTGCAAACGAGATACGACTCGGTCTTGTTGGAGTTGCACCAGACGCGTCGCGAGCGAGACGAAGCGCGGCACCAGGTGACTACCTTGATGTACTATAGAGACGCTGCGACCAAGGTAGCGGCGAAACAGCTGCAAGAGATCGAGTTTCTCAAAAGCCAGCTGGAGGCACTCCGGACCGCGCCGGAGGGCGAACGGCCGCACAAACTGCAAAGGACAGCACAGGATGAGAACAGCTACCAAGACGACGTGACCAACCTGGCGAAGCGGCTGCTTATAGCGCGGAAACAGCGGTCGGTCTCGGCCAGAAGTCACGAGATGATGTCTAGCTATAAGTCCGAGGAAGCACCCTATAAAGTGGCAGCTTGTGCTTCTGCCAAGTTGGTACTTTCTTGCTGGACTCCCGATCGACTTCGCAAAATCCCTGGCGTCGTGGCTGTGGGCATGGAAAGCGGAGCACTGAGGCTACACTCCCTAAAACATGCCCAGCCCCTGGCGGAGTTGACCGGCCACGAAAAGAGCGTCACTGCCCTCGAGTCGCTCTTCTACCCCTCCAGGTGCGACTTGAGCGAGATTGCTCTCGCCATACACGGAGCCTCGAGCTCCTCCCCCGTTCCCTTCAGGAGCGCGCTCAACGTCTTCTCGGGCAGCGCCGACGAAACCGTCAGACACTGGAAAGAAGACAACATCACCACCATGGAACTCGCCGCGGATTGGGCGGTAGAGTATAAGGGCTGCGGGGAAGTGGCCAAGGACCCGGACTCCATCCCGAAATCATTCAACTTCTCCTGCCAACACGTGTACCGACCCAACATCGGGCCTGTCTCCTGTCTCAAACTGCACCCAATAGGCTCACTAATGGCCGCGGCGGGCACGGCCAACATGTGGACGCTCTTGGACCTAGTCAAGGGAACCACCGCCAGTAACTTTGTGCTCACTGGCACCGCTCCAGAGGTCGTGTGCAGCCAAGTCACGTTCCAACCAGACGGAAACCTCGCCGTGGGCGCAGCTTCCGACAAGTCCATCCCCATCTGGGACGTACGCACTGCCAACCTTGAGTCGAAGCCCGTTTGCCCACAACTCGTCAGCTCAATGTCCTTCTCCGAAATCGGATATATACTCGCCACTGGCTCGCACGCCGGAACCGTAGACATCTGGGACCTGCGAAAAATACAAGTCCTCTGCACTCTCGACCTCGGCGCGCCCGTACACAGCTGCCAATTCGACTACTCTGGCAAACACCTCGCCGTCGCCACCTCCAAGGGCCTCTCCGTCGTCAGCGCCGTCCAGAAAAAGAAATACGAAGTCGTCGCCAACTGGGAATCCCCCTCCACCGCCCTCACTGCCCAGTTCGACTCCAGGTCCGACGACTTCATTGTACAGCTCCAGGCAGACGGCGCCGTTTCCTATCGCCACGCTTTTTAACCAAGCACTCACCCTCTGCCAACCCTCCAACAAGAAGATACAACAAGAACCCAACGAACAAGAAGAATCCACATTCGCTGAACAGAATACCCCGCTGAACACAAAACCCTTAGCCATAAGATACACTAGCTTTTGTTACACAGGAACTCCAAAAGTCTTGCGCTCAGGACGCCCCACTCGCCGTCGTGAGGGCCGAGCCTCTATGGCCGGCTCGGTATTCAACGGACGCATCGCCTCCGTCTTTTCGATATTCCACGTCGTACTCAGCGTCTTCGACAACGTAAACTGACAGAGCGGGCAGATCGCAACGAACCCAGTGCCCAACATGTCGTTCCAGATCTGCTTCGCAACCACCAGACGCTTCTGCCTATTCACCTCACTCATGTCCAACGGCGGCGGAGGCGGAGGCTGGTCCTTCCGCGGCCGTCCTCGCGGCCTCTTCAGCACCGGTGGCAACGACAACTCGTCCGCCGGCGCTATCAGTGGCAACGACGTGTATGGATCCACGGGCACCGCCGCCGGTTTCGGCATAATCGGCACGTCAGGAAAATCGCCGAGCCCCAACAAGTTCTCCCGGTCGATGCTCGAGTCCGCGTCCGCCGCCCGCACCTTACGCATGGGCGGCCGCCGGTCCACCGAAGACTTACGCGAGTGCTTCTGATCATCGTGCACGCCCTGAGCAGTCAGAATCAGTTCGTTCTCGCGTCCTGTAATCTTCGTCCATTGCCACACCGTACTCTGCACCACCATGTCCGCATCCACCAAACTCGGCGCCATTTGACAATGCATCTGGACCTCGCCGTCCGAAAACATTGGCCGCGGAAGACTCGTAGACACCTTGACCCCGCGCGGATGCCGGAACTCCAGGATGCTGAACAAGCAAGCCGACGCGATGCCTCGCGAGAACACCGCTGGCAAGTCGAGCGACGCAATCACCTCGTCCTGCCAGTGGAAGCTGACCCCCTGCGAACGCACCTCCACCCGCGCACACACCGCCGACTCGCTGTGCAACATCTTCGGCTCTACATGCCCTATTTCTTCGTAGAGACTGGTCTCCGTGTACTTCGCTTTCTGCATTTGGTACAAGGTGCCGGTCTGGAAGTCAATCAGACACCCTCCGCCCTTCACCTTGTCCCCGCGCTCGTCCGTCGCCCACACACCGCAGTAGTGCCGAGTCACTGACTGGTCCGACCATGCGCCCGCAACAATATACGCCATGACGGCAGTACCTTTGTCGATGTGGTCCATATACAAAGGCGTGTCCACCGCCATCCTCACTATGCCGTTACTGTTGCGACCGCGGCCAGTGTCACTGAACTGGACAAACGCACTCTCTCCAGGTTTGCAGTTGTGTCGCCGATAAGCATTGTCCACGAACGTGCATATGTCCGTACTCGGGGTGTCATCTACCCGGTGCATTGTGCCGAGGAGAGGCGGGGGGTCTTCATTCGTAATGCGTCTCCGTTGACGTCGACCAGCGTCCGACGAATCCGACTGTTCCTTCATGGGCACGTCCGGCGTGTCCGACTCGACACCGGGAGGAGATGCCTCGAACTTAACGAACGACGAATCCGGTACAGACGGCTTCACGAGTGGCGGGATACTCGCCGGCGGCACAAGAAGCCGCGGGAGCGGCACAATCCTACCCCTCTCCACCACGTGGTTCAAGCGTACTTCGTATGCGTCAACGATGGTGCCGAAGTTATCCACAAGTTCCTTGAACCGCTTGAAGGAAAGATGAGACAACCTGTTGCTTGGCTCATTGCTGGGCCTGTACGCATCGCTGCAGACGTAAGCGCAGTAGCGTTTCACCAGATGGTGCGGTACGACTCTATTCATGTTCACGTAATTCTCCAGCAAGATAGTTGTCAAGGACCGGATCATAAACTCCGTCTCGTGGTACTGGACAGCCACTGTCTCCGTGGGCAGTAGACCATTTGATAATAACTGAAGGAATAACAAGTAACTTGCTTTACTTTAAGGTCGGCCTTACTTTAATAAAGAAACATGCAAATTCTCTAGGCAACGGCAAACTTAGAAAATGAAGTGAATCGGCCGCCGTCAATGTCCGTCCCTCGTCCAAAGCTTCCAAAAGAAGCCTCATTAATAACCCACCAGGGGTACTCAGATATTGAGGGTTAACCGCTCCGAAAACCGACCCAAACGAAGCGCAATACGTTGCAATTGGTCGGAAAGGCCAGGAAAGACCATGTTGCACTAGTCTGGTTTGCGCACCTAAAACACAGCAGATTGCGTTTCTCAAGCAAACCCTTACCTTTGTATCGTTGAAGACACCAGAGAGTAACCTTCCATACCTCACTGGTCATGTCGTAGCAGTTGGTGTCCGGCTCCGGCAACTTGCCCAGACACCGCTCCAAGAACATTCCATTTGGTGCCATAACCAATAGTGAATGAATCAATAGTGGAGGTATTCCAAACGGAGTATTCACCCAATAGGAGCGCATCAGCTCCCGAGCCTGTTTGATATTGGGTCCAAGCTCCTCGCATGATATGGCCATTGTCAAGTTGAATGTATTCAGCATCATGACATGTAATAAAACCAGTCTCATAGCTGAATCCTCCGACACCGCGCCTTCCTCCACAGCGGCTCTAAAGTCCTTGATGAGCGTCTCCGGGTCTGCTGCCGCCTCTTCTTCAAACACTTGCTTCAGTAAGGAATAGTAGCCTCTCGTTGGCCTTATTGTTGAAATGGGGACATAAGGCATCTGGCTGGGTGCAGTTGCATCATTTCCTGCATCGTCAATGCTACAGTATGTCTGTATAATGTTGTGGACGTAAGTTGGATATTCGCTCTCCAGTTGTTCTTGAATCCATGCATAATCAATAAACCTGCGACCGCCGATGGATGTCCATACGCCGGTCGGTAAGCCCGTATCTTCATTAGAAAGATTTCTGGCGCGCCTTTGACCTCTTGTAAAAACTGTCGAACGCATATCGCTCCATTATAGACCTGGGCGGTTTATTAAATAAATTGCATGGGCCGCGCACGCGTGCGAGATTAGAGCGCGCACACACGAATAAATGCAAGATTGTCTCAATGAGCTCCGAGATGCGGTTGCTAGCCGGAATGCCAGTCTAGCTGACCAATTACCACCTCGATACTCGGCAATATACGAAACTAGTACCAATGAGCGCACCGATATAGGCGTTTTCGAAGAACAGTTGGGGAAGAAGATAGACGAGAATGTAATAACACCGTTTCTATGCACTGACTGGTACTTGTGTAGGAGGGGAGCAGCTTCATGGCGGATTACCTTGCCAAAATAAATGAAATTAAAGCGGGAATAGGTCGTATACATGAGGGGGCTGAACATTTGGACCATCTGAAGAATAAATTGAAACAAACTCCTACTCCTGATGAGGAAAAAGGTGGGTGGGTCCATGTCTCTTGAAGTTCTACATTTCTGCAGCTATCAACAATGAGATTCAAAAGGTGCTAGGGGAGAATAATCGCGCCATCATGGCCACTAAGGCCGAGTTGGAGAGCTTACGGCACGAAAATGATTTATTTCATTCGAAGCAACCAAGCTCTAGCGAGACTAAGATTAGAGAAAATATCCATGCGGCTATAACTCGCAAATTCCGCGTTCTGTTGACAGAATACCAGACTATTCAAACGGCTTACAAAAAGTCGGTTCGAGACAAAATCGAGCGCCAGGTTAAGATTGCATACCCTGATGTATCTGAGTTTGAGCTAACGGAGATATTGGAGGGTGCAGATTCTACCGTAGCTCAGCAGCAAATATTTGCCAGAATCACTGGGGTAGGTAGCACCACGACCGCAGCAGATTGTCTTCTTCCGAAATGCGCCGATTCCCGCCGCTGAAGGCTCATTTGCCTGAGTGCGCATACAAATTGGAAGTGCGGGTGCAAATTGGAAGTGCGCATACAGGTGGAAGTGCGCATATCAGCGTTGCACTTGGGATCGCACTTGGGAAAGAAATCACGTGTTTCAGGCGCATGAATCGTTGAACTATGCATATCGAGACATTCAAGATAAGCATCGAGACGTTAAACGATTGGAACAAAGTAAGGAGAAAGGGTGGCGGTAAGTCCGGTTTCGATAGGTGTCGTGGAACTGCATCAGATGTTCGTGGACTTGGCTACTTTGGTGGATAGACAGGGTGAGAAATTGGATCTGATAGCTTACGCCGTTAACAACGCGGCTGACTATACGGAGAAAGCAGACAAGGATCTAATTGTTGCCCAGCAGATACAAAGCAAGCGGAAGAAGGTATGGGTCGCACATTCATTTGTGGGACATCAGGTGGTCGGTTGTAGCGTCTAAGTAGTGAGTGGTGGCGTCAATGAGTAGTCGCATATTGGCCGGGCCGTTGAGTTTGAGTCGCTCATTGAGTTTGAGTCGCTCAATGAATGAGTGGTGTATATGGTTCATGTTCAGTGTTGTGGGAACCCCCCTGTGTTGTTGATCATCATAGTTGTTGTTGTTGTAGTGGGGATGCTACATCTCTTGTTGTTTGATCATAGTAGTGATAATTGTGGTTCTTCCTATTATTGTGTACGTAGCTAAGTAGGTTATGTTTTTGAATTTTATAAAATGATGAGTGAAGACTCAGATTCGCCTCTAATAGATAACAGTTTATCTTACATACCGGAGGGGAATGACAACGAGCGTTTGCCGTGGGAGTTTAGTGACGAGGACGAGGAAAGGACGAAGAGGAGTTCGCCAAAGGACACAGACTCCACTTTGACGCCGGTGACGACGGCGACGAACAGTGACTTTAGAAATAGCGACTTGCGAGATGACTTCAGACCAGTCAGCGGATCAATTGAGTACTCGCGGCGGGTCGCCGAAGACAGTTTGGAATTCCGGCGAGAAAGCGCGTTCCGAATAACTCCGGGACCGGGCCGGGCCTCCGTGGACCCCATTCGACTCACAGACGTCGCCGCGAGGTCTCCTGACCTGATGCTTAGAGCCAATGAATTTCGTTTAAGGTCTCCAGATCGCATCCGGGCACTCGCCACCGAACACTTCCGGACAGGCACGACTGACTACGCCCGAGTGGGGAGCACTCTGGGCGAATTCGGCCACCAGGAGCACGTTCGGGAGCAGGCCCGAGAACCGGCTCGGGACCACGCAAGTCAGTTCACGAACGCAAGTCCACACACCAGCGCAAGTCAGCACGGGAACGCAGCAGGTCCCTGTGCAAATGTAGGTGCAAACGGAAATGCGAATGTAGGTACGATCGCCGGTGCAAACGCAGGTACGATCGCAGGTCCTCAGATCAAAGGTGGGAGGGAGCACATGCGGTCGCCTGAAACGCCGAACAAAGGTAGGACAGAGAACGCGGTCCGGTACTCACCCGACTTTGCCCGGTCGCCCGACTTTGCCCGGTCGCCCGACTTTGCCCGGTCGCCTGACTTCGCCCGGTCACCCGACGCGCGGCGAGTCCCGCCAGAACGGAGCCAGCGGTCTCCGACGGACTTGGCTTCCCGGAAACATGCGTTGCGAACGACGTCACCAGGTTGCGGCTTAGGACCTCTGGATTCTTTGACCCCTGGAGACCTGAACCACCGACGGAAGCCGTCCACGTCGACGTTGAGCAGCATTGCTGGGACGCAAGAGTTCGCTTTGCCTCCTTCATGGCAGGAGCTAGATCCCTTGGCGGAAAGCGGACTTAATTCCATTGCGGCGCGACTAGCCGCAGACTCCTGGGCCTCACAGTGCAGTGCTCTCCAGGACGTCCGCAGGCTCGTGCTCTTCTCCGCCGAGGACCTGGACATGACCGTTCGGAAGGGCGTCACTCTCGCTAGCTACGTGGTTTCGAGAATCAACGAATTCGTCGACTCGCCGCGCTCACTCGTCTCCAAAAACGCGCTCGTGGCCCTCCACGACATATTCCTCTTCAGCCCCGACCGCGTCCAAGGCACTCTCGTCTGTGAATCTGTCCACGGCACTCTCCGACGCGCAACCTGCAGCTCCTTCATCGCAGAAGAAGCTCTACGATGCCTCAAACAGATCGTTATTTCCGGAGATACCCTCTGTATCTTCTATGCTCTGACTATGACATTGACCAAACAAGCGTAAAACACACTTTGCACACACTTTGACCGCACACAACTACACGCTTTCACGTAAGTTTTCACATAGACGTACCAATTGCACTTTGAGAGGGGTATGCATCTTGGCGGCGGGACTCTTCTTGTTGAGGCTCAAGTCGACTGGTCTTAATGCCGTGATTCAGCACAAGGATTTCACCCACTCGTTTCTGAAGCCCATTCTCAGAGCTGCTAACGACGCCAACCCCGATTGCCGTTATGCGGCTGCCCAGTGTTCCATCATCTTGCTCAAGTAAGGTCTCCCTCCATACTCACCGGCCGACTCCGTTAAGGATGTGGGCGTTACCCATGTTTAGTGGTTGCTTGTGTGTCGGTTAGATCAAAGGTCGGTGTTTCAGTTTGGTGCCGGATTTAATATACAGATTTAAGGGTCCGCTGATGGGTGAAGTGGACATTCCTCAGACGGTGGCCCGTTGCAAACGTTTGGTGCGTCCGTTGGCAGAGGTCTATGGCATAGACAAAATAAAGGAGGGGTATTCTAGTTGTCCTGATGAGGCGACGATAAACATTTCCTTTGACCGACTACAGACCATAATGCACAACGTGGACGAGATTGCGAACCAACCACTGCACGGCTCAGAGGGGGCTGCCGGTGGCAGTAGCAGCGCCCCTCGTGCAAACACGGCCGGTTCTCGCACACGCTACTCACCCTTTGTTCGGAGCGCGGTCTCGAGGAGGTTCGATGACGGCAGCGGCGACCGTCCGGGTCTCAGCGGCGAGCGGCTGAGTGGGGAGCGGTTGGCTGGGGAGCGGCTGAGCGGGGAGCGCTCGAGTGCCGACCGGACTTTGGCTGAACGGACTTTGGATGGCCGAACTTTGGATGCTCGGCGGTCTAACGAGCCGCTGGAGAACCGGCGGTCTAATGAACCGCTAGTTCGCGATGTTTCGGCGACCGACGCGGACGAGAACCTGCCGGATGCCTCGGACGCCGACCGGTTCAGAGAGGCTCGCCGAGAAAGCGTGCTGCGTCGACCCGCCGACAAGGTCGAGCGTCTGTCCTTCCGGGGCGACCAAACCAACTCCGTCAAGCGACAGACTACTACCGCCGAAGTTTTGGCCAAGAGGAAGCTGGACCTCCTTGTCGACGAGTCGCGGTTGCCAGCGTACGCCACGCGAGGCAACCAACGGTACTTGTCTGCAATTGACCGGCCCTCTTTAGGTACTGTGGGCAACGTAAATCTGCAGCGGCTTTCGCGAAAGTAACCGGTCCTCCACTCACACTACCTCTAGACCCACTCGCACTACTCTACCTCTGGATCCTCTGAGCTACTCCTTCCGGACATCCCAGTCCTTCCGGTTCCCAGACCCCAGTCCTTCCGGGCCACTGTGCTGTTTCCCTGCTGTATACCCCTGTCGTGGGGGGTTCCACGCTGTGTTCCACAAAACCGAACCCTCTTGACTTCGCCCTGCCCCGAACCTCCTATTGCAGCCTGTAGGAAACATGTCGTGTTTAGGTGGTAAGTTTTTCTTATAAAGGAAGCTCGAGTGGTTTTTGAGAAGCCCAGCGGTAATAACCGATGTAGGCCATACCTAGCAAGTTTAGTGGCTCGGTAACGAGCTTCACGCCGCGTCCTGGAATGCTGGTCTCGAACAGCCTGGAGAAAAATGCGACAGTATTGGCGTGAGCGCCGTGTCGTAAACAGGGGAGCGCGCCGCACCGCGTGGCGTCGCAAGCACACGTGTGTGCAAGCACTGTGCAAGGACTTGGTGAACATACCTGTGTGGTCACACGTGTCTGGTTACGGGTGTGGTCACGGGTGTGTGCTTACCAGAAGGCGAAGGACGCAGCGCGGGCGGCCGTCCAGTAGAGCACGGCGGTGCCGACGGCGCGGGCGACGTGTGTCTTGTCGCTCCTGAGCATCATGGATAGTTGGGGTATCAGTGCGAGGCCGAGGAGGCAGTCTGAGAAGCTGCCCATGGCACTGAGTGTTTGGCCGAGTTGCTTGTGTTGTCTGAAGCACTCGACTGAGACGGCCACTGCCAAGGTGCCGACGTACAGCACCAGCCAATGTACCCGAACCACTGGTTCCGATGGTGGCTGCGTCTGTTTGTTTGGCGAAAGCTGCTTCAACGGGGATAGGTCCGCCACAACCATCTCGGAAATCGCAGAAGGCAAAACCCGCTTGCCGAACGAATCCACTTGCGCCTGATACGTAGAACAGTAATGGTAGAAAGCCACGCGGATCAACAACCCCAGACATAACGCCGATAACAACGACGCACCTGCATATGCCATAGTACTCACAGAAACTGGTAATACCAACGCGAACAAAAACGAGCCCAAATGACCTGCAACACATATTGTCCACCCAGTCTTCCACGCTTCAGACTAGCCGCAGCTTCAGATATACCCTTATTGATATGTATACAGCTAGGCATATATATAGTTGTAGTTAGCCATTGATGGAAACGTAGTTGTATGTAGACTTATTTAACAGTACACACACCATGGATCGGAGTGTTATTGCTTTTGTTTAGCCACGGTCCTGACACGTGGAGGACTTGGGGGGCGGCGTCGGTCCCCCATGGGTCGTGGGCAGGTCTGCCGCAGTGTGTATGGACTGCAGTATGGTCGTGCTTACCTATAGCGAAGGCGAGGAGAGTCTGGTAGCTTACCCCCGCGGCAGATCTCTTGACGCGGAGTGTTTTGAGCAGGGCAGCGGCGGCGAGACCCTCGGCTACTGCGTAGACGGCGAGGAAGGGGAGGTTTAACATGGACAAAAAATATTACGAGGTGCAGCACTCTCAATGATATCAGCGACGACTCCGAACGTAACTCCTGGCAGACTCGCGGCGGGAAAGCAACTTGACGGCGGCAGAGTATACCACCGGGGAGGGGAGCGCTACCTGCGTGGGGACCCTTCGGACCATTCCGGTGGCGCTGACAAGGTCGCTTGTTGCGATGGTGCCTGTGAGTGTCTTCACGCCACACACACTCGCCCCCACATTTTCGACAGGCGTAACGTCTTCGAACGCCTGACTGACGTGCGCTTTTACACAGGCACCAGCCGGTACCGATTCGATGAACTGGGGAACGGCCGCGGCAAAGCAGGCCGCGAGGACCTCAACGTCAAGACGGGATGGGCGCCGTGTCCGCAGCGCCCGACGGAAGTGTACTCTTCGGCACTGCGCGTCATGCGCCAGCCTGTGGTGGAACCTGGCACACTGGGCGTTCAGAAATTCGGCACACAGGCTATTCCACCTAAACTTATTTGGGTATACAGAAATGGGGACGCCTGCCACATGGGCACGTCCTTTTTCGTCAAAGCCTGCTACCGAAACCTCAACCAACTCTTCAGGGGACTCACCGGACCAATCCAACCCATTGCTGGACCCGTTCGCAGATTATATGACCAAAACCTCCAATTAGTCACCCACATGGCCGAACTGCTCGACGGAGGCAAGTACCTCGCCACTTCAGGAGAACCGCCCGCCCCCCTGGAACGCCTCAGAATCTTCCTGAGCCCATATATCGAAACCGAACCGGCAGCTTAAGTCACACTCACCGTACGTCCCACGAGTGCACGGGTTGCCAAATGTGTGGCTCCTAGTGGGTGGCGATTATGGATCTGGACTTGGGTGGTATCCGGGGGCGGTATTCGGGTGGGTGGTGTCCAAAAATTCAGATGCTTGCCAGGTGGGCAACATGCGGTTTGTTCTTCACGTTCGGGCTTTCGGTCTCTGCGTGGATTGCTGGGGTGCCTGGGCTGAAGGAAGCGTTTGATCTGGACGATGCGCAGTTGGGCATGCTGTTGCTGTGCTACGGAATGACGTGCATCATCATGGCGTACCCGAACAGCCAGTTGGTCGGTCGTCTCGGACCGAAGACGGTGACCTACATGGCAGTACCCGCGTCGTCGCTCTTGTTGTCGGCACTGCCGTGGTGGCGGAACACGGGTCGAGCACCCCACTGGGTCGTGGTCGTGGGCGGGATGCTGGGTTCCGGCTACTACACTGCATTTACCGTGAAGGCGACGAGGCTGGAGCAGCTTTTGGGGAAGAGCGTGATGTCCTCGTTCCACGCCTGCTTCTCGCTGGGAGCTCTGGCGGGGAGCAGCTTCTTCTCTGCTTTGTTGCGTTGCGGTCTCTCGTGGTCCCAGGTGTACCCGCTGCAGGTGCTGACGGCGGCTGGGCTCACCTTGGGGCTCGTGAGCTTGTTGCCGCCCGACGAGGCGGAGAATTTGCGCGGCGCACACGCGTGCGAAGAGGCGGAGGGGTGTTTCGGGGACGGAAATTTGCCGGAAATTGACTCGCCGATTGCGGCGGCGTGCGCGGCCATGCTAACACCAATGCGGTCATCGCCGCAATTCGTGCCGGACGCGTCTCCGACCTCCGCGGGAGAGCGGCGGCTCGACTGGCGCGTGCTGCAGCTGGCGACGGTATCCGCGTTGGCTTTATTCACGGAGGCAAGCGTGGGCGACTGGGGCGCTTTATTCTTCATGCGGTACTGCGACGCGCGGATGGACCAGGGGCCGTTGTTATACGCGGCATTCGCGTTCGCGATGATCCCGATGCGCCTTTTCGGAGACGGGCTAGTTGACCGCTACACCCGCGAAACCGTGTTCCTCTGCGGCGGCTTAATTTCCTTCGCCGGCTTCGCCTCCCTCGTCGCCTTCCCCACCTTCTGGGGCGCCTTCTGCAGCGCCGCACTCGTCGGCATGGGCCTTGCCAACAACGTGCCCATCATCCAGACCTGCGCCGCGCGAAGCAAACTCATGTCCATTGCCGAAGTCACCGCCACACTTAGCGCACTCAACAGTGCTGCGCTCCTCGGAGGACCCAGCATCATCGGGCCCGTCTCTAGACGCTACGGCCTACGTGTCGCCTACCTCCTTCCCGTACTGGCCACCACAGTACTCGCCTCCTCCACCAACCTGCTGGACGTCAACCGAAAGAAAACCAGAATGTTCGGCGACCGAGTCCACGTCTCCTGAACCCGAAATGTTGCCCGGCCACGCTGTCGGATCAGATTGTCGAGAACAGACTGTCGGGACTCTTTCAACGGAGGTTGTCCGGGACCGAGCTTGCACCGGACCGAGCTTACAATCGCATGGAAACTGGGATACTTGTATAGCACCATAGCCAACAGGGCTGTGACCTAGGAACCCTGCCGGCTAAAAGGGCCGTGAGATCGAGTCTAGTGCTGGTCTACTTTTTCGAGCCAACAAGTTCGCCCGCTACCAACGCGCTAGTGCTGACAGAGAAACTGGGCACATCCACGTTTTTAGCTGAGCACGCACACTACTTGCGCTTTTGGCCGAGCGCACACACGACATTGACCACCTGCGCGCGCGCTTGCACTTTTAACTGAGCACACACACGATATTGACTACTTGCATAACTGCATCAACAATCTAGGCGCAAGCATGCTCGTCACTTATTCGCTGAAAGGCTTGCTCTGAGCTCTGCTGCGAGTTCAACCACATCAGGTAGTGTGTTGGGGTAAACGGCCCGAGCGTATGGTTGGTGTTCGATGAAGGTCCAGGCCAGGATGAATTCTGTCAGGTCTTGTTGGATATTGTTCTCGAGGCCACAGACCCAGGGAACGATGTGGCTAAGGGGGATTTGGGTGGTGGAAAAATTAAGATCGACGTCGATAGCATAAGCAAAATCTGCTTCGGGTGAGTTGGACTTGATTTTGATGTTGCAAGCAGCGTCTGCCAGGTAGTTGTCGAAGTTTGTGTCCGGTAGTAGGTTGTGCAAATGTATTTTTGTACTCCAAGTATGTGCTTTATAAGTGGGCATTTTGCTTGTCATCAACGAGGAGTAAACCAGCCCCCAATATCCCTCATTGGTTTGCAAACATTCGTCGCACGTAGTCTTGTTACTAGGGAATCTCTCATGGCAATATCGATAAATATTATCATGCAGCTTCCTTAGATTTCTGCTGCTGCCAACAGTTTCGGACTGCTGCGTTACTGAGTAATCCTTCTCATCCTCTGGCCGAGTTTCCTCTACGTGAGTTACAGCGAAGCTGCCTTTGGCTAAATGTATTCGCCGATATTTTGCTGACGAACAAACGATAGAATCAGCAGTGACCTCTTCCACTGTTTGTAATATGGCCCTGTCATAATTAGAATCCTTTTCCTTGAGAAGATCGCTACCAAAACAACCCCAAGAAGGGTCAGCTCTAATGACTGCAGCAGAATTATTTAATTGGTGAACGCGTTCCGAGTTACCTTGGGGAATAGACACAATGTAGGTACCCTGCGGGAGATGTTCAATAATGCATTGTTCCAGTTTATCTTTTACATCTGCTCGATCTATGCAGGATCCCAATACCCTAAGTAGAAACGCAATGTTGGCTAATGAAGGACAGCTCCGATCTAGCCATCGTTTAAAAGGAATCTCGGAATGCTGTAAAGACTTCCAAACGATATCCCGACGAATTAGAGGTACCCTTTGAGTCCGAAGTCGAGCGCTGGTTGCTGGAGTCCGTCTGGTGGTTCGACCGGTAGTGGGTGGCTGCAGCATTAAAAAATGATACACACCAAACTATTACTGCGTACCCATCCAGGTCCTGCGCACACGCTCGCAGTTGGATCTCTACGTCTTGGGTAAGCTAGCTAGCTAGCTAGCACGTGTAATGTTGTGTACTAAAAAACAATTGGATGCATCCAACTGCAGCTCGCTGGGTGATATAACTGCGACCGGTCAGTACCAGTCAGGAAGGTCAGAGCACACTGTCGACATTGTCGAAAAGTTTGGAGATATAAGAGTGCTGGAGCTTAACCATGATGACTCCGACTGTGGCATCCTTGGGGCTGTGGAACCAGCGCCCTAGACGCGGCTCGGCGGCGGAGACGCCGACCAAGTAAGCGCCGGATCGGGAGACGCGGAGGGCGTTCACAACGCCCGGTGCCGGCAGTGGGTCCAGGATGGGTTCTAGAATGCCTCCCTTCTCCGCCATGGCCACCTTCCAGACGGAAATGGAACCGGTGTTGGATCCAGTGAAGGCGACGTCAGAGTTCGGACACACGGCAACGGCCGTGCACCACGGCTTCGGGCCGCCTTTATTGGCCACATGGGACAACGATTTGCGGAGGACGGCTTTCTTGCGCGCTATGGACCAGAGACAGACGGTGCCGTCAGAGCTGCCGGTCAGAAACCCGTGTTTGCTGAGGAAGGCGCATGTGTCGACGTTGTCGGGCTCTTCATATATGGCATGCTTGCTCTTGAGTGTATTCCAGTATCGACTGGTCCTGTCCTCACTGCCGCTGAGTACAAACGTCTTGTTCAGGCAGTCGATACAGGTCGCGCTTTCAGTGTGTCCGTAATTAGTCTTCATGCACGTCTTGTGGACCAGCGACCATTCGCGCATCGTTTTGTCGGCGGACACCGAGTACACCATATCGCCCGCGCTGCACAAGCCCGTCACAGGTTCCGTGTGGCCAGTCATGTCCTTTATCAAAGCGCCACTCGCCAGGTCCCAGAGTTTAATCACGCAGTCCTTGCCCGCAGTCGCCAATAATTTTCCACCCATCGCCAACGTCATCGCAAGCACCGCACCCTTGTGGCCGTCACTCTTGTGGCCGTCACTCTTGTGGCTGTCACCTTTTTGGCCGTCGCGGTTGTGGCCCAAAAAGCCGAGTCGCCGACCGGACTCTACGTCCCAGCGCGCAATCCGTCCGTCCTTGCCCCCTGTAAAGACAGTCCTGTCGTCATAGCTAATTTCGACGCAAGTCGGCATGTGTTTTCTGCACGCCCAGATCGTCGACGCACCCAGGACCAGCTCCGACGCGAGGGGCCTTGTCCGCGTCTCTTTCTCGCGGTCCACTCCAAGTGCACTTGCCACTGTCTCCAACTCGTCACCCTCGTACTTTATCCCAATCTTCTCCATGTACTCCTGAGCCATCAACAGTCGCTTCTCCTCCGCACTCAACACTGGCGCCTCCTCCACCCCCTCCGGCCCGTGGTCCGAACTGAGGTCGTCGCTGTCAATGCTCTCCTCCAGCCGCGGCTTCTTCGCACGCGCCATTTCCCGCCCAAAAAAATCAGCCAACCCCGAACAACCGATGCGCGCGTCCACTGTCCCATGCGCCCCCTCCCCTGTACACCGAAGCCTGCCTCATCTACATAATGGAGAACCTAGCCCATCCCCAAGCCCGCAACCGTGGATAAGTGTGTGACCGACAATGAGGACCGACAATGAGTATAAGGCCGGCCCCCAGACGTGTGAATTTAAATTGGAAATGCGAGCCCTCAAGGCGCGAATCAGCTCGGGCATGGTTGGCATGTTGGCATTGCTGATGCCGGGGGGTGGGTGGAGATATCCGGAATGTGGCGCGGGAGTGCGGGTGGGTCGACGAGCGGGATTGATTTGGAGGCACACCATGGCACGGCGGAGTCTGATCGACGGATGGGAGTCGAAAGAGGAGATGCTAAACTGTGTGAGGTGGTTCATTGGTTCTATATATCCCGAGCCGGGTGTCGGCCGTCGCACGATCTGGTACAACGACCGCGGCCTGCCTGTATACATGGCGCAGTCTGTGGAGGATTACGAACAATGGTGCGCCGTAAAAAACAACGAAATCCTCAGTTGGCTATTGCCACAGGAGCGGGCCGAGTGGATGTCGCCTTTGGACTTGTCGGCCAGGGTGGACATGCCGGCGCAGACAGACATCCTCCGGCATATGTTCGATCTGTACACAGAGGACTTCGGCCAACTATCCGTTGAGGCCACCGCGTCACCTGAACCCTTTACGCCAAAAAAAGGCAACTGCCGGTCCATCCCTGGCTTGATTCTCTGGGCCGGGTTCCGTTACGACGCCCCATACATGTGCCTTCGTGACAGGTGGGAGAGGCTCGCCGTGCTCTCGCGTTGGTACCCCGAGGAGGCCTGCGAGGCAGTTCTCAAGGACTTGGAACAACTTACAGACCTACCTGCTCGTCTAATGCCCAGCCTGTTTGTTCCCACGGCGCTGACAGCAGCCCCCCGCGAGCCGCCGGTGGCGGTCTCGAAGCAGCAGCTCAATGACACGGCGAGCCTCTGGTGGTTCGATCCACAAAACGAGGACTCGCCACTTGACATAAATCAGAACCGCCGACGCCGCCGATTGAATCCGCCCACACCCAGAATCGTCGAAGAAATAGCCGCAGACGTCCGCAACTTTGTGAAGGCTCTCCAGAAGCAGCTTCGCCAGACTGACGCAGACAAAAGTCAGGCGACCCCTCGCCCGCCTGGTGGTCAGGTAGCCTGTGCGGATGAGATTCGTTACTGGATGAAGAAGGTGGCAATTCGACGCAAGGCAATGCTCAAGGAGCGTTACAAGGTGGCATACACAGGGTGCAAAGAATATGTGGAGGCGGCCTATTTTTCGGACGAATCATCGGGCACCGTGAGGTTTCCGGTAGCTTGTCCGGGCTGGATGCGGCCGCTGAGCCGCTTGCGGAATTATGAGTTACGGCAGCGGGCTTGTTTTGAGGAGGAGCTGGTGCTCGCGCTCATTCACGGATGCATCCGGCTCGAGGCGGTGGAGTCGGGGCACCACTGCTCGTCGCTCGTCGCGGAGCTGGACGACGCCGTTCACGAAGAGGACTGCCCGGAGTTCACCGTCTCCACCGGCCAGCTCGCTTGTCTCTACGAATGGCACCTGGACGACGTCATCGAGCGGGTCGCAACTGACCAAGCCCGGGACTACGCCTGCCGCGTGGGAGGCGCCATCGCTACTCTACTCTGGGACCTAACCGGCGGAGATCCAGCAGACGGCGAAGACCTAGCTGCCGAAAACCTGACCAGCGCAGAAGCGGACGGCCTGCTACCAAGTAAACGACGGAAACGGGAATAGGCAATGTTGGCCCTCTTCCGCAAGGATGCCCCAGTTGGCCCCTGTTCCACAAAGATGCCCCAGTTGGCCCCTGTTCCGCAAAGATGCCCCAGTTGGCCCCTGCTCCGCAAAGATGCCCCTGTTGCGCAACAGAGTGTCGAATTTTTCTTGATGGTGCTGAATTTTTCTTGATGGTGCGATATCTCGTCTGCCAGTCGTTATTTTTTGACATACCGCACCGATGACCCGCCATGGGGGGCCCTGTTCTCTTCACCGCACACCGGTCACTTACCACTCCGACCCGCCCGGGACAACCGTGGGCCTCTTTTCTGCCGTCGCTTGATACTTCAACCAACCACAGATCAGTGGTGTGGCACCGTGGGCCAGTCACATGCCCCCTCGTAGGCCGACTGCTAATCGTGGGCCAGTCACGTGCTCTCTGGTAGTCCGGCGGCTAACCGTCGACCAATCACATGGCCCCTCCTAGTTCGGCTGCTAACCGCAGTCCGGGGTACTCCTGCTGTCCATCGTCTGCTGGCGCTTCATTCTTCCGTCCATCACCGGCCAGCCTCCGGTCATCTACGCGTTCTTACAGCAATCGTGGTCCAGGTCACTTCATCTGTACACCAAACCGGCGACGCCTAAAAACCTCGCCAACCTTATGCGTTGCTTCGCATGTTGAACAAGGCTGTTTTTTTACAGTTCTCGTCGCTCTCTACTCACCGTCTTGGGACATCGATCCCTGACCATGCTTTAACGGCCCGTGGAAGATATCTGGAAGACACAGCCGCTTTCTCGAGCGAAATCTCCAAGCCGGCGGAGTAATACCGGGGAGACTTAACCGGCGCAGAAACGGACGGCCTGCTACCTAACAAACGGCGGGAGTGAGAATAGGAACTCTTGACTCCAGTTACGCATCGGGGGTCGCGTGCAACGAGAACCGTGTGTCACGAGAACCGTACGCAACAGAACCGTGGCCCGCGATTTTTGGCGCATTTCAGCACAGATGGCATGCTGGACACACACGCTCCGACCCACACGATGGGCCCACGACCACCATAGCCGACGACGTAACGCGGCTAACCAACGAACGGACACCGAGCTTGCCACACTGTCGCTGGCCGCTCTTCCCATCTTTGCTGCGACACCCGCTGACGCTTCTTGCTTCGTATGTTGAGCAACACCACTTACTTGCCTTCTCGTAGGTCTCTTCATCTTGAAAACCCTCGACTTCGCTCGCACCCTCGGCTTCCCAGAGGACTCTCGACCAATAAGTCGGGCGATTCATCAAAAAGTTATAAGACCGACGATTAACACGGTTGTACGACGGACCAGTCGGCAACCGTAAACCAGTGCAGCGAGTGGAGTAGGCGGTACACACCGACACGGCTTACATCATATGGATGGGCAGGGTACTTTTCCAGAATCTAGGGTTCGACCGTGTTCCGACCGGTTCTAGCGCACTCGTGTGCGTCAATAAAAATTGAGGGGGAAAAATGCGAGCGTCGAAGCCGAGGAGAGTCAGTGTGGGCATGTTGGCGTTGGTGCCGCCGGGGAGTCAGTGGCCGACGGGGGGAAATGCGGCGGGTGTACAGTTGAGTCGACACACGGAGTTTCTTTGGATGCACGCCGCGGGGCGCCGGAGCCGGACCTGCACCACGCTAGGGGGGCGAGAGATTCTGGCGAATGCGCGGTACAATGCGGCTCTGACGTTCCGTTCGTCGGATATTTCACGTCACGTTTTCTCGTTTGCGGGACCCGACCATCAGGGGCCGATGTATACACGTCGGTCGATGGAAGAGTACGAACAATGGCGTGTTCTGGCGGATAGTATTGCCCTGAATTGGCTCTTTGTACCGGATCTGACCGAGCGATTGATGGCCACGACGGGACGCCGACCTGAAACAAGTCCGCGACCCGCGGCAGGCGAGACGGACCTTGACACGGCGGCGTACCTCGACACGGAGGCGGACCTTGACGCGGAGGCGAACCTTGACGCGGAGGCGAACCTTGACGCGGAGGCGAACCTTGACGCGGATGCGGACCTTGACACGGATACGGACGTTGACACGGATACGGACGTGGACACGGACCTTGTCCAGCACTTGTTCGAAGTGTCGGAAGAGGCTTTCGCGCAAGACTCAGTCGAGGCAACCGCACCGACTGACCTTTTTGCGCTGCCGTCTAACAGGGGCAACCGCTTGAGTCGGTGCATCCCTGGTTTGGTTCTCTGGGCGGACTTCCGCCGTAACTTCAAGGATATGCCACTTCGCGACCGGTGGGGGCAGCTGGCCCTGCTCTCGCGCTGGTACCCCGAACAGGCCTGCCGGGCCGTGCTCAAGGACCTGGAAGAAGTCATTGACCTGCCCGCCCGTCTGGCGCCTGTCCTACTCGCCCCCGCGGTGCTGACTGGCCCACAGCTGGCTGTTTGTGCGCGGCAGCTGAAAGACACGGCGGGTCTCTGGTGGTTTAACCGCCAAAACGAGAACTCCACTCAAAAGCACCCACTCCCCTGTTCAGACCCCATCGTCGATAAAATTGCCGCAGATGTACAGAACTTTCTGACGTCCCTCACGAAACTGCTTCGTGGAAAGCACCAAACCCACGTGAAGCCTGGCCCGTCTGGTGGCCAGCTGGCTTATGCAGACGAGATTCGTTACTGGATGAAGAAAGTGGCAATGCGACGCAAGGCAACGCTCAAGGCGCGTTACAAGGCGGCATACAGAGAGTGTAGAGAACAGCTGGAGGCAGCGTATTTTTCGGAGGCCTCGGGGGGCCCGGTGGAGTTGCCCGTGGGTTGCCAGAACCGCGTGCGGGCGCCAAGCGACTTCCGGAATTACGAGCTGCGGCAGTGGGCGTTTTTTGAGGAAGAGTTGGTGCTCGCTCTGATTCACGGATGCATCCGGCTCGAGGCGTTGGAGTCGTGGCACAACTGCCATCTGGTTGTCAGGGCGCTGGACTTCGCCATGTCGCGCGCCCCCCGGTTCAAATTCTCTGTCTCCACCGGCCAGTTCGCCTGTCTCTACGAGTGGCGGCTGGACGACGTGATCGAGTGGGTCGCGACTGAGCAAGCACAAGACTACGCCTGCCGTGTTGGATGTGCAATCGCCAACACGCTCTTGGACCTGATGGCCAAAGACCTGGCCAGTGTAGAAACGGGCGGCCCGACGCCCGCCAAACGCCGGAAACGGGACCAGTAATCCCCACTGCGCAACCAGAACCGTGCGCAATAGAACATTGCGCAGCAGGGTGGTGATTTTTGGTATTGATTTTTGGTATTTGAATGTGTGCAGATATTTGTGCCTTGTTCGGAACCGCTTGCACACACTTGCACACACGGCAAGGAACCCGGCTGTGGTGAGGGGGCGGTTAGTGCAGGAACGTGGCGGACTTGATTGTGGGTTCTCTTTTCTTGCATGATGCCGGTGAGTTGGGGAAGTGGGTGTTAGTTGAACATTTGTAGGTTGACCATTCGGTATAATCTATGACCAATTTGGGTTCGCCGTTCCTCTTCTCTAGCATCAGAGTTGGTGATTCGTTCACTGGTCGGGTGCGTAGCGGAAGTGGTCTACCCGTTGCCCGAAGCTCAGTCGCGAGGATGGCGGGAACCGGGGATGCTTGGCCTCGAGACGTCGGAAGAATGAGGAGTCTTGAAGGAAGATGGTGACGGGCAATACTGGAAGAGGCAACACTCGCCCCACCCCGCACCTCAATGGATAAAGAAAGCCGTCGCGTTGCTTTTGATGAGAGCACCCTGCCGGTGCCCATTGGGCCGTCTAAAGATGCTGTCGAAGGTCGATTGTCGACCGTCGAGAAAAATCTGTCCTTGAACGTTGTAGCCGAGCAGTCGTGGGGGATATTATCCGCTTGTCGACAATCAGTGAATGCAGGCCGGTTCGGTTCCCTTCGCTTAATGGGGGGAAGTTTGGGTCGCGTGGGGTTGGGTCGCGTGGGGTTGATCATGAAAGAGTCTGCTTACCAACAGGTCCAGCGACCAACAAGCATGGCGACCAGTACATTGCCCGATTTTAATCCGGTTAAAAAAGAGCAATGCGAGCGCTGAAACCAAGGAAGGGTAACATGGCCATTGCGGACATGTTGGCGTTGCTGCCAACAAGCAGTCACTGGTGGTTGGCTGAGGAAAATGTGGCGGGCGTCCAATTAAGTCGGCACGCGGAGTCCATTTGGATGCACACTGTGGGACGGCGGAGCCCCTCCTACACTTCGATGACGGGACTGAAGATTCTGGCGTGTGCTCGACGCCATGCGAATTGGATGTTCAGTTCCCCAGGTATGATGCAAAGGGCATTATGGTTTGCGGGTCGCGACCCGATGTATACACGTCGGTCAATGGAAGAGTATGAACTGTGGCGCGCAGTAGAGAACAGTCGGGCTATGAACTGGGTCTTTCAATCCAGGTTGCCGGCGGGCAAGGGGGCTCAGACGGGTTTTCTGCTTACGGCGGGTCCCCTACCCACGGCAGCCGGCTCGGACTGGTCACCGGAGTCCGGCATGGAGGGGGAGGCGGCCGTTGAAAGTGAGGCGGACGATGATTCCGAGATTGGCCGGCTCTTATTCGAATTGTCGGAAGAGGGCTTCACGCAGCTATCCGCCGAGGCGTCCGCCCCGCCCGGATTGTTCGCTCTGCCCCCCAACAAGGGCAGCCGCTTGAGTCGGTGCCTCCCTGGTTTGATTCTCTGGGCAGACTTCCGCCGCAACTGCAAGAACATGCCGCGACGAACCCAGTGGGAGCGGCTGGCCCTGCTCTCTCGCTGGTACCCCGAGCAGGCCTGCCAGGCGGTGCTCAAAGACCTGGAAGAAGTAATTGACCTGCCCGCCCGTCTGGCGCCTGTCCTGCTCGCTCACACCGTACTCACTGACCCGGGTGGCCCGCAGCTGGCTGTTTCTCCGGAGCACCTCAAAAAAACGGCCAACCTCTGGTGGTTTGACCGACAAAACGAGGGCTCCGTACTCAACCTCAAGCACCCACTCCGTGGTTCGAGTCCAGAGACAGACCCCATCGTCGATAAAATTGCCGCAGATGTACTGAGCTTTCTGTCGTCCCTCACGAATCTGCTTCGTAAAAAGCACCAAAGCCAAGCCACCCATGGCCCGTCTGGTGGCCAGGTAGTGTCTGGCTCTTGGCTAGCTTGTGCGGATGAGATTCGTTACTGGATGAAGAAGGTGGCAATGCGACGCAAGGCAATGCTCAAGGCACGTTACAAGGCGGCCTACAGAGAGTGCAGGGAGCAGCTGGAGGCAGCGTACTTCTCGGAGACCTCGGTGACCGCGGTAGAGTTGCCCGTGGGTTGCCGGAACCGCGTGCGCGCGCCGAGCGACTTCCAGAATTACGAGCTGCGCCAGTGGGCGTTCTTTGAGGAGGAGTTGGTGCTCGCGCTGATTCACGGATGCATCCGGCTTGAGGCGATGGAGTCGTGGTACAACTGCCGCCTGGTCGCCAAGGCGCTGGACTTCTCTATGTCGCGCGTCCACCGGGCCTTTAAGTTCTCCGTTTCCACAGGCCAGTTCGCCTGTCTCTATGAGTGGCAACTGGACGACGCGATTGAGTGGGTCGCAACTGAGCAAGCTCAGGACTACGCCTGTCGTGTAGGAGGTGCAATCGCGACCACTCTCTGGGATCTAGCGGGGGAAGACGTTGGCACCGGGGGAGACCTAGCCGTGGCAGAGCTAGCCGGTGGGGACCTGGACGGCGGAGACTTAGTTGGGGGAGGCCTGGTGACCGTAGAATCGGACGGCCCGACAGCCGCGAAACGCCGGAAACGGGACTATTAACCATGGTTGGGCGAGCAAAGCAATAGAAGAGCGCGCAATGAGAAGCGCGATTTTTGGTCGACGCATGTGCAGACATTGGTGCCTTGTCCGGAACTATACACACGCTGGGCACACATGGCACGAGGTGAAGAATCTGTTGGTTGGCGCAGGTGCATGGCGGACCCGATTTTTAAATGGGGTCTCGCAAACGGGAGCGGGAGACGAATGGAGAGGAAGAGGGGCGCGAGCGCAAAGAGGCTCGGGTTGAGGCCGGAATGGCGGAGTTGGCGTTGAGGCCTATGAGTGTAGAGGGCAAAAAAGCGAAGAAGTCGAAGTACGTGCCGGAGGTAGCTGAGGGCGTGAATCCGTTCAACGGGCAGCCGTTTAGTCGTCGATACTATGACTTGTTGAGCGTGCGGGAACGGTTGCCGGCTTATGAGGCGCGGAAGAAGTTTTTGAAGACGGTGAAGCGGCATCAATGCACGGTGGTAGTGGGTGAAACGGGGTCGGGGAAGACAACGCAATGTACGCAGTTCCTATTGCAGGCGGGTTACCACCGTGACAAGTGCATCGCTTGCACACAACCTCGGCGCGTGGCGGCCATGTCGGTAGCACACCGTGTCGCCGAAGAAATGGACGTGGAACTTGGCAAACAAGTCGGCTACCGTATACGCTTCGAAGATGTCACAGAACCGGGCACCACGCTCCTGAAGTACTGTACCGATGGCAGCCTTCTGCGCGAGGCGCAGACCGACCCGCTCCTTTCCAACTACAGCGTCATCGTACTCGACGAAGCACACGAACGAACACTGGATACAGACATACTCTTCGGTCTTCTCAAAGAAATCATCAAAACCAGGAAAGACCTTAAAGTCGTCGTCATGAGCGCCACTCTGGATTGCGAAAAATTCCAAAAGTACTTTGAGGCACCCGTCGTCTTCATCCCAGGCAGAGTTCATCCCGTGGAAATACTATACACCGAAAGTAAGTCCACCCCCCC